TATTCCTGTCAAGATGAAAAATTTTATTAGGTCTTTTGGTACTGAATAAATCACATAAATATGATATAAATAGTGACACATATATCTCTGTTTTCAGCAGAGATGTGCGGCTGTTATAAAATAGGAGACATTTGTATTTATCCTTATTCAGGGAACAAGTTCCATAATTGTACTTATTTAAATGCCTCCAAAATCTGGGGTATGTTTCTCATTCTATCTCAAATTACTTTCTGTTTYAGCATCATGACAAAACTAACCAACCCGTTTCCTTTAACCTCCCAACACCACTAGAAGAGCCCTAGTAATTTCTGACCATCTGTGTTGTATTTTTAAAGACAATTTGGAGAGTCATCTTTTCTCCTCCAGGATGATGGTATAACAGAATACTATGGCATAGAGCGCTATGACAATTAAAAAAAAATGTCTCAATGCACAACTTTGCTCTCCATTGTGTGTTCTCTTACACCATTCTTATTCTGTTTTATTATTCTGTAATTTTTCCAATAGGTAATTTTTGAAATTGTCTGATCACTAGACACATTATTGTATCAACTTTTTTATTCTTTTTTTTTTTTTTTTTCATACTAGTAGCTGGATACCTGGACATTTTTGCTACAGCTAAACTCAAGATTTTTACCTTTTTGATGCTAAATGTTATAGACAATTGAAAGTATTTCCGGGCAGACTGGTTGCTATTTGCATAACAAGAAATGTCTAGTAAAAGCCTCTTGGGGTAATGCGAATAATCAATAGACATTTTGAAAAAATAGTCCCTGTAGCATTTTATTCTGCTTTTCAGTGTTTACCTCTAAATACAGATGCTTATTCAGGAAAGAGAACAGCTAAATTATTTCTTTTATGCCAATGTTGTCAAAAAGCATTTCCCAGTTTGACTAAGACTGTGGGAGTTGGGAGCAAAAAAGAGGCAAAACCTCTTTTCTGCTGTAATATGGAGGTTAGTAGAGTTAAACTACCATTAAATTTGGAGCATATATTTTCATGAATTCCAGAAATAACAGCAAATGAATAGAAATAATGCACATCCAGAGATCTTATTTCTTATTTCTTTTGAATTAGGCCATTGCTACTTGTGGCCAAGCTGAAACAGAGCTGAGATAAATMTTTTGTGAAAAATAAGTATTTTTAAAGGAAGGACAATTGTTTCAAGGACAGGCTGAGTAAATTTGTGTTTATAAAATGAAACTTACCCTTCATTTGTCTGTATTTGTTTTTGCTTTGCAGAAAAGTAAGCAGTTTGGTGAATGCTAGGGGCAAAAGTATGCTTGTAGCTTGTACTATGGCTGATGTTCCATGTATAAAGAATGTGAAATCCTCTTGGGAGAGGGTAATTGGATCAAGCAAAATTGTGAAAGTATTTTAACCTCATGAAAATGCTGTTTCTCAAAAGGTGTCACATTCAGCTCGTCCATGAAGAACCCAATGTGAAATAATCTTACTGATGTCCATATTAGACCTTTCTCTAGAGTATAGCTCTATGTGCTGTGCTGATAAACATCTACCAGTTCAGTCCAGTTGAGGATGTGAATTTATGAGGAAAAATTGATTGAATTRTTAATAAATTTTGGGTATAATACTGTTTATTTAAAAAAGTTCTTTATGAACACCACCATTTCACGATACCAGTTTTCAACAGTTTGAGGATTGGTCAGTTGAATAAGAAAAAGGCACAGTAATTCCTTGTTACAGTTACATTACAGTTGTAATGAGAAGTATTGATTTTTCTCTTAATACTAATGTGCTTAATGATCTTTCTAATGACATCTGTCACCACTGTTTCTTCTCAAATTCTACCGGCATTTTCCTTTCAGTAAAGTAAAGGATTTTAATTGCTTGTTGTGTTGTTAGAATGAGAATTATCATTCTTTTAAAGTAGTATGAAGTCTTGTAGAAGGTATATTCTGCTAAAAATAAATTAGAAGCTGTCTGAGTTTAGATCTTCAGAAGAATTTTAGAAACTTTTCATTCTTTTGTCTTCAGAAAATAGCTCCTTCAGCGCTACGTGTGAAATTGGTTTTTCATTGTCAGATTTTGCTACTTGATATTAAGTAGAGTTTGTGGAATTTGGCATGGAAGGGTAAGTTAAGACAGTTTCTGGAAATGTCTCTCTCTCGAGTTTTGTTTTCCTTCAGCTTTTAATGGTATCATCTGAAAAAAGGATATATGAATTAACTAAAACATCAATATACCATAAATCACTAAAGCCATCTATATATAGTTCAAAAAAAAGCTTCATTTTTCTCTCTCTGGTGACTTTGCTTTCAGTGGTAGATAGTGCTTGTTTTGAAAACTTTGTTTTCTACTGCTTATCTTCTATTGTTTTAATAATCTAAAACTTGGCTGTTAAATACCAGTCTAACTTTATTCAAGGGTGATTGTCACCAACCAGCAAAGCTTTTGGTTTGCTTGTAGAATAATTATTAATATAAAAAAGTTATGGGCAAGAGTAGAAGCAAGTGGCTCCGACACTGCTAAATGGTTTGTTCTCTCTTGCAAACACTTTAGTTTTGGTTTTTTGTGTCAAGGGACAAGTGATTACAGGTGATAGCAGGATGAGTATTTTCATAAACTGCTCTATGTCAATGAGTTAACAAAGATGATACATAGGGTTTTTGATAGGCATTACAGGTAGTGACGTTGCTTAGCTGATCTGGTCTAATTCCGGTGCAAAAATGAAGTACTCACCCACTTCAGGGCACTCCAAGCAGGCATGCTCTGATGAAATGCTCAGAGCTGCCACCCTGAAAGGCGGGACTTCGGGGTTACCATAACAACATCAGCCAGTCGTTGTCTGACACTACAACATTATTGCAGGAGCTTTGAGGGAGTATTAACCAAAATACAGTCACCATACATTTTGCCTGCTTTGCTGGTTAAGAATGTCTGTGCTGTGTACTGAGATGCTGCATCTACAGCATATTTTCTCTGTATGGTTGAAATGGCCACATTTTTCTGAAACTCTTTGGCATGTCTATATAATATTCTAATGCAGCACATTAGAGTATATGTGGCAAAACCCAAGATGCATTTGTGTAAAGTTAMTCATATTTATTTATTTCCTGCATTAAAAATGAATAAGGGGAAGATTCAGAAAAGCTGAGTAGCTACCAAGGCATGTCAAAAAAGTTTCCTCTGAGTAGTCCTTTGCACATAGCATGAAGAGATTAGAATTAGTTTTTCTCTAYTTATTTTATAGCACATTTTGTAAAAATCCAAACCAGGAACTGGAAATTATTGTTTTAACAACTAAAGTGCACATGCCATGTGAATGAAAACAGGATATTTAATTAATTAGACCAGAGAGAGTGTTTTATATAATAAAATATGCCAGCTTGCTTTAAGCAGGTTTCATAGACCATCTGAAATAGAGGAAGAAGGCTTGCCAATAGCAGGAGCTAATGCTTCAATACCTTTCATTTTGTACTCTGCAAAGAAAACCTCTTCTTAAGCTCATTCATTTTCCAGAGGGAATGTCGAATGCTRTGGCATATTGTCAGAGCTGCTTTATTGTCACCTTTTACAAAGGTCACCTGAATTAATTGACTCCTTACCATACATATTGTTAAGCTACCCATTCCCTGACATTTTTGGAAAGGTGGCAGACTTAAAGCCAGTGGCTATCTGTTGGTGGTTCTTTCACAGTGTTTGTTTCCCAGAACACGGTAACTCCACAATTACAAGCAAGTAATTAAATTGGTGCAAAGGAACGGAATCTTTTTGATGTTCTCCAGAGTGCACAGGAGTGAGGGGGGGCTGAGGGGAGAAAAAAGGTCAGAGAAATAATCTAAATACTGAGGTGTTTTTAATACAGATTTAGTATTCGAATAAACAAACAAAAGCATACAGGAAGATGCAGATTGTTGGGTTGGTTTTTTTTTCACTGTGAAGCATGCATTAGATGGCTAACCTGTCCTTTGAACGGTATAAAGTAAAAATCCATCTCTGTCTTTCACTGATGCATGAATTACAGATCCATGCTGGTGCACTTTACTGAATGTGTTTTCATCTGAAGGGATACTGAGGTACTCTTATACTGCATGAAAGGAATGACATACACATGCATAAGCTCAAGCACATTAGAAAACTGTAGTGCTAGCCCAGAATTTTAAGTTGATTACATTGGTTAAATAGAAAAATCACTGATATTTTTCTAGCCCCCTGCATTTTCTGCTTTCTCCATCCCACTGTGTTGGGTTCTCTTTCTCAACAGCAGTGCTGGACAAAAACTCCAGCTAGACATGTGAAAACAAAGACATGGAAAGCAAAGGCAAACAATTCTGAGCCCTCCTATACTAAAACAGGCAAAGCTTTTATAGTGATGGATTTAAACACTCTCCTTACATKTAAATATACTTTAGAGGCACCCTGCTGAGATCCTGTTAATTACCAAAGAAGATTAGAACTCCTCTGCTTAATGTGATCCTTTTTGCCTAACGCGTCCGTTCCAGCTGCATCAGTAATCAGACATTCAGACTGTCCCTTCTGACTGAAAAGGGGATGTTTTTAAGCAAAGTCATTTGCCACAATCCTTAAGATGTAGCCTGGCAGAAATTCAATAACTCTGTTTGTGATATGCTCATTCAGCCTCACTGTTCAGTGGTTTTTAGGTCCTGACATAAACAGCATTTCCCTTAATCCTAGCACTGGAGAGAAGAAAGAAAGCTGTCCTGTATCTTGTTTTATTGGTTTCAAAACACAGAGCAACTGTTTAATTTGATTTTGCCTCTGAAACATTGGTGGAAACATTCTCCATAATTTTTTATCCTTTGATGTTCTTTCAAGCTAACAAATGCAGAAATCTGATACTATTGCAAGCATATTTAGATTATCTCTGACATAAAAGCAAATTGCATTTGCRTTTCTGTTCAGAAGGTAAAATGTGAAAATATACTAATAAAATAACTACAAGAAGAAGAAAGGGGGAAACAGTCTACAATTTAAGATAAAAGTCAGGGTAAAATTGAAAATAAAGAGGAACTTACCCTCTAATAAGAGTAGTTTCAGGGCTGGAGGAGTTCTTGCATCTCAGTAATTTTGAATCCTTACTTCAGGTAGCGACATACTGGTATTAAAGCCAGAGTCTGAATAGATGAGCATACACGCATGCATGGGTGTGAGTCGGTGTGCATGCGTGTGTCTAACAGTCTGTAATACAAAGATGCATCTATTGATATCCTACAACACGAGAGACTCTGTGCTGCCAGCTGAGATCCCCTGCGTTTGCCAAAGCGCTGTTGCTGCCTGGCTGTCTGAGAATGGCAATCCAGCGGAGAGAGGAGGGGGGGAGAGATGCTCGCTAGCTGCTCTTATTCCTCCTGGTTTCCATGGTGGTTAGCGGTGCATCGCTGAGCCTCCCGCCTGTCCGTGTGCCATGGTGCTGCCTGCTCGGCGTTCATTCATGAGCGAGCCCTGGGCTCCGGAGAGGGGCCGGTGGCTCTCTGTGCCCGGTGCTGTGCCCCGGTGCTGTGCCCGGTGCTGTGCCCGCTGCTGTGCCCGGTGCTGTGCCCGGTGCTGTGCCCGGTGCTGTGCCCCGGTGCTGTGCCCGGTGCTGTGCCCGCTGCTGCGCCGGCCTGCGCGGCTTGGGAAGATGTCTGATACGTGACACGGGGCTACGGATACACGGAGCGAGCCTCTGCGCGCTCCCACTGCTCTTCCCATTTGTGCGAGCTGCAGGGCATGCTTTCTGTTTGTACAGAACCGATTGGGAAGTCCAGATTTTCTTCCCCCACCCCCTCCTTTTTTATTTAATTTTTTTTTTTTTTTTCTTTTAAGGGATGTTATCTGTGCTCAGAACAACTTATTAGACATCACGGAAGTTCTGCAAAGGTTGCTGTAGTTCAGATGATCCTGTATATTGAAACCATTCACCATTCAGGAAAAATATGTTGTGSCTTGTCCCCAGTTTTAGTGCTTTTTTTTTAAGCTTAAGACAGGAAAAGATTTTACACGTTCCTCCTTTTCCAAATTTTGTCAAATATTATATTTTACTACATGTGCTTATCAGTAGAAAGTAAGAGCAATAATATGTCTTCCTAGGAAATAAAAATTCAGAATAAACTGTGCAAGGGGTTGGTTAGATGAAAAGTCAGTTTCTTTCAATCTCTGTCTGCTTGAGCCTGTCTTTTATGGCCATCCAATTATATAAACAATAGGCTGCACAGATTTTTCCTTCCCTTTCTTCCTTTTTCTCCCTTTATGCCATGCTCTTTGGTGAAGCATTTATTTTTTCACTATTTATTCAGTGTCCATGAACAAAGGGCATACAAACTATGAAGGTTTTAAAAATTGTGAAATAATTTGTGATTATCACCACCCCTTCTCCTAGATTTACAAAACAATAAATGAGATAGATATTGTTAGGAAAATAATTTTTTTATTATACATACTGTTTTTATAAAGAAATTACCTTATAACAGAAGATGRTTCATAATGAAGCACAAAGAATTGGTTATCAACAGGTCAAAAAGAAGAAAATGTTGGATCTCTTCCATGAAGTCAGTCCCACAGCCCTGAGCGAGCCAGGCCACCCTCTAGTGGACACAAGTGAGATGCAGTTCTCATTTCACGCTGCTTTGAAGAAAGACTCACAATCCTGTCTAATCAGAGTAGGAAAAATTTCTGAAGATTGGCAAATGAGATGAAGTAGCATACTTTTTGCAGTAGCAATAGCACCAAAATGCTATGAAAAAATGGTTGCTATTTTATGAATACTGTGTTGCAACTCACTTTGAGATCTTGGGCTGCATTAGTTTTGTTTTTATTTGGCAAGAAAATAATTTTAGTCTTCATAAAATCACTTACTATGAAAAGTGAATTAAATTAATGCCACCATTCTGAATAAATTTCAGGTTATTATAAATGGTTAGCGCAAATTTTAYAAAACCACTCCTGTTAGACACACTGGTACTCACACAGTGGCTCCTATTAAAGCCGTATTTTCCTTCTGCCTCAATTTTTTTTTGAATGCTGCATTTAAAGCTAAGTGCAATGAACAAAGTCTTAAGTTTTTTAAAAGATGTGTGCTGTTATTTTTTCATTCATGCAACTGACTGGGACTGTCTCACATATGAAATAATGGCATTTAAGTGACTGATACCTGCAAATATGTGAGATGCTCTACGTCTGGGAAAGGCCAAGTGGCCTTTTCATTTTCTCTGATTCTCTTGTTATGGMTATTCAGTTTTTTTCTAATATGAGTTAAAGAATTATAGCAAAAAAGTTGGGGCTAACCCATCTTTACTTACCTTTTAGGTCTTCTTGCCTGAGATTGGGACAGGGAAAACTAAGATCAAAAAGATGTCACATCATCTTTCTGTAGCCTCGAGGCTCCTTGGTGAAACCTTGTTTCCCCTTTGCCCCCATGAGATGGCTTTTGGAGCCTCTGACCTATATAATGACCCATGGTTTACTACCATGAGCTGCAAATTCAAGCCATTTTAAACTTCCAAGCGAGCCTGTAAGCCTTCCTTGCTRCAAAACATAATGTTCTGTGTTGGATGGGATAATGCTCAGGATGCTTGAAATAAGCACAACCAAAAGCCAGAAAAGTAAGATTTATTACCATTGTAGCCCCCACAAGAAAAATGGAAATCCTTMCTGATCTCAGCCATCTCATAGCTCTCTCCTGCTAAAGATACTAACCTGTGCTACAGGGGTGGGATTGTGGGTGGAGCAAGAAAGAACATTTCAAAAAGTTTGGGTAAAGGTGAAAATGTTCGTTTAAAGACAGCTAAATACTGCTATTTCTTATATCTTATTCAATGGAAAAACAGGTGGTCTGGAGAAAAGTAAATGTGTTGGGGCTAGCATTGCCCTACATGAAATCTTCCTTGGGTTTTACCCCTAACCTCCTCATGAACTCACTGTCATTCATTGAAAATCTGGCTTTCTAATTAACATGAGAATCATGCAAAAACATATTCAGTGATTTGACATGTGAAATTAAGATTATWGAATGCTTCATTTTGGTTGATTGGTATGGACTGTGTAATTAGAGGGCTAGATAATTAAATCAACTAAAGTATACTTGCATAAAGAAAGTGAGTTCTTATGATAGACTATATATGCAATTAAAGTACTTCCTTGATAGGCATACATTTACATATTAGTTAAAATGTTATTATAGCATAATACAGTTCTGTTTCATAAAAAAAAAGTGAAATAATTGAATTTTATAATTTAGATAATGCTAAAGAATTTTTCTTTCAAACTATCTTCAGGAGAAAAGTATCTTTTATGACCAAAACAATTATGATTATCAAAGTTCATGAAGTTGTTTTTCTGCTGATTTCACTATGATGCTTGGTGGTTTTAAAATAGCAATGTAATCTACTTTATGAAAATCATATATATAGCTTAATAGGTTACAGGATAGAAAAAAAATTTTCTCAGACTGATAGAGAGACAATGAAATTAATGCAGACTAACTCCAGCAATTTATTTAGCATGCATTTTATCTGATTACGGAGTGCATGTTAAATAAACTAAGTAATTATTTGTTTGTAATGGACAATAAACACAATCCGTAAAACCCTTAGTTATTAAAATACAGTGGTTCTGTGTCTGCATTTTTCTCCAGATTGGAAGATGATTTCAAAACTTTTTCCCCTTTTCATTTTAAAGAAAGGTAGAGCATCCTTGGGCCTTAATATCCTATAGGCTTCTTGTGGTTCAGGGAATTTATCGTGAGCATTTCCAGTGTTTTTAGGTTCCAGGAACACAGCTGTGTTGAGAATGCAGCAAGTGTAGTTAAAAACTGTTATAAATATTGTGCTGGTACAGTAAAAATTCCACAACTATTTGATTTAAATTCTAAGATGGCACAYTTTATATCAGAAATCAGCAATGAGAAAATATTTTCAAGTGTATAGCCATACAGATTATGTCCATGTGTAAAAGAGACAACACTTTTTGAGTAGCTTTATTGCTTATGACTACATGTGCTCCTATCTTGGTTTCTGAGGCACCATGGCTACAAGGAGGAGGCTCAGTGGTGGCTTTTCTCACTTCGTTCTTGTAGCCTGTAGAATAAAAAACCAGAAGAGCTGGTGTGTGTTTGACAGATTAATTCTCACCAGTTCTGCAAAGCACACCCTTAAAATATCTTCCAGGTGAGGTGTGGGGAGGTAWTTTTTTCTGAGTGAGGGCCCAGGATTGCTCACATTCAAAGAAATCTGTCTGGTGGTGTCATCAGTTAATTTATTAATGGCCTTATTAATTATAGCTGGTAGTCATTGTATGATTGGGGAGAGAGAAAAGAGAGCCACCACTTCATGTAACCCTGTTCTGCCAGCATTTGCAGTATCATCAACCTGACATYGTCATTTTTAGATATCTTGGCCAGGCTATTGACATTTTCCTAAAAGGGCTATGTTYCTGTGCAGACAAGGAGTAATTTTTATTAATATGTCTCCCTCTGAAATGGAATCATTTTTTCAGTGATAAACAAAAGCAACATTTCTGGCTCTTGTTCTTTGTCTTTTTTGAAGATGAAAGGCTTGTTGCCAGCAATGAATTCACATTTCTAGAGTTGCACTTCATAATGGAAAATGCTAGTTCAGATTACTTAACCTGCTACCAACTTTCTTTTATCAGATCTAAGAATAGTGTTGATATGATAGAACAAAAGCAGATGGAAACAAATATGAGCCATGTAAAGAATTTCACATAAAGAAAAATTCACATCTACACAAAGTCCCAGTTATTTAATTAGATGCTATGTAGGTAGTAGGTGCTATATGACTTGGCAAAATCTGGAACTACATAGTAAAGAGCCTTAGAGTACAGGCAAATTCAGTCATGTGTGATGGGGTTGAATGAAAGCAGTGGTGAGGAGCTTATCTTGATGATCAAGGAGATATTTCCTATTCCAGAAAATTTGCCTATTCATGTAGCAACTGTGTTCTATGAAACAAAAAGTATGAGATCCCAGGCAAGAGCTATAGATTCCTTCTCATTRTAGGTCCCAGAACCATAGTCAGAGTTTATCAGGAGTGGCTTGAGTCTTGAAAGGTTTTATCCCTACTGGGTCCAACACAGGGCGATATCTGAGTTCTTCTAATTTTCATCCTTGACCCTATTTTAATAGGCAATAATCCCTGGCATTCCAGTATCTGCRGAAGGCTGGAAGTGAGTCACACATAGCAACCACAACCTTGCTATGTCATATGGGAGCCAGAGTAGTTAAAAGCAGCTAGAGAATCTTCATGTGCAGTTGGATTAGGGAGGTGAAATATCTGTAAAGCAATTTTCAAGCTCAGTATATGTATTTAAAATCTATTTCATTTGAGTAAATTAATTTCTTGTGGTGGCATCTCAGGTTTTGTAGCCTTCGGTAATTGGATGTAATTTACTGGGATCTTTTCAGTGGTGGATCTTTAAGACTGAGATCCCCTTGTTGATTTCTTAAGGATTTGCTTGTTTATGGAGCCCAGAATGTACATGAAATATATCAGTTAGTGTCATAGCAATTGGAGTTGATCTGTATCTAAAGTTGATGAAGAAAATTGTAATGATTTGAATGTAAGGCCTATAATGTCCATCCTGGTTTTGATTGCTGTAATTCTTACAGGTGGTGATAGGTCTTGAACTTTCTGTCCCTATGGACAGGACTTCTTTCATTTCTTTGCTCATATATATTTTCCT